GCAAAACCGCCGACCTAGCCGTCCGGGACCGGGACTCGGGAGCAGTCTGGATCTGCGACGTCACTGTTACAGACCCAGTCAGCTCCAGGGACCCCCTCGCCCGCAAGGGGCGCGGTTACATGGCAAGGGAGCAGGCGGGCAAGAAGACCGACATGTACCGCCACAGGGCAGAATACGTAGGCTTCTTCCCGCTGGCCGTTGAGACATACGGCTGCCCCTGCGCGGAAGTGCCGGCCTTCCTCAAACTCCTGGCACACACGGCCGCCCGGCGCCTTTTCAATGCCGACCCCTCCTCGTACCAGGCGGCGAAACTACTTAGCCAGTTTCGCCAGCGCTGGTCCGTCACCCTCCAAAGAGGACAGGCACTGGCCTACCTGGGGAAAGTGAACGAGGCGTCACCGCTAGAGTGGCCCCCCTTGGGAGGGCCTGAAGCGGGCATGTCCCTCGGGGACTGCTTCGCCGTGATAGAACCTTAGGAAAAGGGGGGGGGGGGGGGGGGGGGGGGTTGGTAGGGCCGGGTGCTGGCCTTTCCCACCGGCGGCTCTAGCCTACGCCTGCTCCACTTGCCTAGCATGTACCCAGGATTCCCAGCAACAAAGGACCATTCGAGAGAGAGAGAGAGAAGGCACAACTGATGCTGAAGAAGCAATGGACAGGACTTACATACCTGACCAGCAAGCAGAATCCAGCACAGAGGACGACAGCGCTGAGGCGGATGCGCAGCACCCAGCTCCTCGATGCTCTCGAGTCGGATCTGCAGCACCGGTTCCCCAAGGAGGGAATTTGCCGCGAGGGCGTAATTCCCGGGCACCGCTGGCAAGTGTCAATGGGGCTGAGCCTGAGCTGTCCCCCGAACAACTCGCAGCTGACAAATCCCGCTTCGCCAGCATCGCCAGCTGGGACTTGCTGCCCCTGTATGACAGGCGACAGCCCCCCAGTTGCCGCCGAGTCCCGCCAAACCTTCGCCCACTCTTCGCGATCACCCTGCTCATCCCGCTTCTGCACCTGGCGAAAAATCCCAAATCAGCGCCAGGGCGGCGCTTGTTACTTTTCGCTCCACGATTGACACTTCGTTTGGGTTCGCCAAGGAAGCCAGACTGGAAGGCGATTGAGAAGCGGTTACAGCAGTTCCTCAAAGGCGATTGGGAACAGCTGTACCAGTCTGCTGTTGACTCGGTCAACCTACCCCCACCACCACGCCACGTCGCCGACGACCTCGGCAAAATTGCCCGCGCCGAAGGACTGGCGAAACGAGGCAGCCTCAGGAAGGCTGCCCTGGCACTGGAGTCAACACCAGTCAGTGCCCCGTCGGCTGCCGTGCTCAAGGCGCTGAAATTGAAACATCCCCCCTCGCCCATGAACGAGGTTACCTGGCCGGCGCCAGCCCAATCCGAGTCCCCGATATCCCTCGCCAAACCAACCTTCGCCAAGCTACTGTCTCAGCGCGAAATCGGAGTGGGAGCGGGCCCATCTGGAATGACTTTCAAACATTTACGAGACGCTGCTTTCGGAGACGCGTCGGTGGCTGAACACCTCTACACCATTATCACAAGTGCCATGCGTGGGGACTTACCAGAGGAGGTAGCTGATCTCCTCACCCCCTCGCGGCTCCTGGCTTTGACAAAGTCCGACGGCGGCACACGCCCCATAGCTGTGGGCGAGTGTCTGCACCGCGTTATCGCCAAATGCGGTCTCACCGCCATCACTGAGGCCGCACGGGGGCACTTCCTGCCCCTACAATATGGGGTAGCGGTCCCTGGCGGTGGGGAGACCGTTGTCCATTCGACGCGCAGCTTCTCCTCTGCCCGGCCGGAGTCGCTCATTGTACAAGTCGACGTTACCAACGCGTTCAACAGCATCGAACGCCAGGCCATCGTCGACGGGCTATCGAACTCACCGCTCCGACCGCTGCTGCCCTTAGCCCAACTCTCTTACAGCAGGCCGTCCGCGCTCTATTTGGACGCCGCGTTCCACAGCCCGCCACTACTGAGTGAGCGGGGCGTTCGTCAAAGAGACCCGCTTGGCCCCTTGCTCTTCGCCGCCGGAATGCACCCGGCCCTCCAAGCAACAGCCATCGCCTTCCCGCATGTACAATGCCTAGCATATGCGGACGACGTTACCCTCGCGGGTGAACCAGCGTCATGCTCAGCGGCCTTCCGGCACTTCACCGAGGGGCTACGCGCGCTGGGCCTGACTCACAATCCGGCCAAGTGTGCCGCGTGGGCCAGCACCCGCCCCCCAACCCAGGAGCTCCCACCCAACATCCCCTTCAGCGCTGACGGGCTACGGGTTCTTGGTAGTCACGTCGGACCAGCACGCGGCTCTGCGGCGTTCCTCCGGTCCCACATCACCACCCTCACGTCCCCGCTGGCGCTACTGTTCACTATGGACCCCCAGATCAGCGCCCTCCTGCTCTCCCGCTGCATCAGCAGGCGGGTGTCGTACCTCCTCCGCACAACCCCCTTGCAGCTACTCCCGGCGGAGGAGTGGTCGGCGTGGGGGCAGGGCATGTTCCACGCCCTCCTCAAGGCCTCCGGATTACGCCTGCTACGCGGGGAAAGGGAACTGGCACGCACTTGGGCGCAGGCCTCCTTGCCCCCCTCCTTAGGGAGTCTTGGCATCACAGACACGCTGGTGGAAGGGGGTTACTCCTTCCTGACCAGCGCCCATCACACCCATGCCCTACTGACTGCCCTCCGGCCCGCGCCTGACACCCCTCTCGCGCTGGCTGCCGCCCAACTCGCCCCGCCATTCACGGGCCCCGCGCCTTACCATGCGTGGCTAGCCGAGGCGGAAGCTGCCCTCCCGCCTCCTGCACGCCTGCTGCTCCAAAACGAGCGACTTGAACCAACTGACAGGCCACTGCAGCACAGACTGGCGCTGGAAGTGCAAGGCCAGCGGTACGCCGACCAGGTGGCAGCAACCCGGGAGATGGATCCCAACCCCTACATGGGCCATACCCAGCGCTTGCTGTCCCTCTCGGGCTACAGCGCCGGGGATTGGCTACAGGCCATCCCCCTCTTCCCGTCATTGCGCCTCGCCCCCGCACACTTCTCCATAGCCCTGGCCTTCCGCCTAGGCATTCCCTTCTCCACGCCCCGGCGCTGTGATTGCGCGGACCGCACCAAGATCGACGGCCCGCGGCTCCCAAACCACCTTTTTCGCTGCGGTACCGGTCACGGGCGGAGCGACACTCACAATGCACTGCGCGATGAGTGCATTCGTATGGGACAAGACACTTCATCGTCTATCGAGAGACCACTATTTTCTGCCCCGTGGACGGCCACAAGGCGGACCTCGCCATCCGGGACCGGGGAACGGCAGCAGTTTGGATCTGTGATGTCACTGTTACGGACCCAATCGGCAACCGGGACCCCACAGCCCGCAAGGGGCGTGGATTCGCGGCGAGAGAACAAGCGGATAAAAAGATCGACCACTACAAAAACCGGGCGGCCTACGTCGGTTTCTTCCCCTTAGCCGTGGAGACGTACGGTTGCCCGTGCTGGGAGGTGCCGGCCTTCCTCAAGCTCTTAGCCGAGGCAGCCGCCAGAAAGCTATTCAATGCAGAGCCAGACACCTACCAGGCGGCTAAGCTCCAACACCAGTTCCGGCAGCGCTGGTCCTGCGCCCTCCAGCGAGGTCAGGCCGCGTCCTACCTCAAGAAGGTGAACGAGGTGGCCCAGGCGGAGCACCCGCCCATCAGCTCACCTGATGAGTCCCTTTCCCCGGCTGACTGCCTCGCGGTCCTGGAGCCGGTGCTAGAGTGGTTGTAGGAAGGCTGCGTGTGTAGGTGTTTGTACTCACCTTACTTGCCAACAGATGCCTAGTTGTACCTAGGTTCCAGAAATACACGGACCGCTTGAGAGAGAGAGAGAGTAGGAGCACTCCGGAGCTCTGCCTAGCTCGTGACTGCTGGCTTTTCACTACCGATCCACGCAGCTCGAGCCACACCTTAGAAAGTTCTGCAGAAAGTTTTAAGTTTTGACCCTAGTAGCTCGAGCCACACCTTAGCCCCTGCTGAACCGGCGTTGATCCGTTGCATCAGGCAGCCTAAGACGAGCCAAGCCGGGGCCAGCTCGTGGCCAGCTCAGCCCTCTGCTCATGTCTACTCCTAAGTCATGCAAGCACCAAGCCCACTTTGCATGCTACTCTCTCTCGCCCTGTCCCTGCTACTGGTGATCCGTACCATGCTGCCTACATCGATGGGCTGTTTCACTCGGTTGCACGCATTTCCTTGATGCACGGCTTGTTCAGTTGAGTGAAGATTACTGCTCTGGTGCAGCCTCTACTTGTGCCGCTGCATGCGCTGCTGCCAGCTCATCTTTCTCCGAGGTTCTTGCTAACTGGAATGTCGCCAACTGCTGCTGCTGCTACTGCTCCATCTCCGGCACCGGCACTACTTCTCACACTTGCCCCTGCTTCCCCCTCTGCCGCTACAACAGGTCTCGATGTTGTAGATATGGGCAGAGGGATGGGCCGGGGACGACTGGGCCAGCCGCTCCCATCAGACCCTCTCGGGCTGGCCCGTGGCCCATCGATGCCTCGCGCAAAATGCGGATCTGAATATTTCGGCGCGTAGACCCAAATGTTTACGCGATCTGCGCGATTCGGCAAGCGAAACGCCAGATATATGGTAAGGCAGGAGGGACAGCAAAAACACACAACCAACTCAAGAAGTGGTGCGACGAGCATGGTGGAAAGCATTGCTTGGCACATAGAGGAGAACGCTGAAGCATCCCATGGCAAAATGGGGAGAAAGGTGGGCCTAAGTGGGGATGAAGGAGGGAAGGAGGAAGAACAGGGACTGGGATGGTAGGGGCACGCAAATGGGTGCACCGGAATGCGAATTGGAAGGCGAAAGGGAGGTGGGAGATGAAAGAGGTGACTCTTGGCTGCGAACAGGAAGGCCAGGAATATTGCCAACGTCTTCCAAGCAAAAGAGCTTGCTTCTATTCCTACAAAAGTGGGTCCTCTGCACCATCCTACTTCACACAGCTTACAGCCAGGTCAGCATATAGAGGTTTCCAATTCCATGAGGGATGGGACCGATAAGCTGATTCATTGCCACATATCTGCTCACACAGGGGTGGAAAGTGGACATGAATTTCTGCACTGCTGAACCCCTAAGAGCGCGTTGTGCGTTCATATGAACCAGTCAATGCATTGAGACAAATCTACAAGAACTGATTGGTCGAGGAGTTCAGAAGTGTGGCAACTATACGAGGTTAGAGAGGTTAGAGAAGGTGGGAGCATGCGGATTGCATTGCAAGCCTGCAACAAGGTTTACGTGGCATTCAACTGCTCAGGCTGATCCAATTCAAGCATGCTTTGGAACTGGGACAAGCAGCGCTCTGGAGAAACAATGATCATTGACAACAAAATGGCGAGAGACCCATGGAAAAGTCCGATGCAACCTTCGCACATGATTCCAGTGAACTTCCTACAGCTGGGAGAGGCGAATGAGCGAGGTGATGCTGTTGGGAAGGGAGCCAATCAAGGAGTTGTTTGAGAGACCCCTGTGTGGCGTGCCACGTGGGTCGGAGAACAGTGGGCATGGCAGGACGGGGCAAGCAAACACGAGCAATCCAAGAAGGTGGTGAGACGAGCATGGTGGGAAGCGTTGCTCGGCGAACAGAGGAGAACGTTATGCGGCGGACTTGGAGCAAATGGAAGCAGCACCAGCCGATGGCAGGAGGGGGAGAAAGGCGGGGCTAAGAGGGGATGAAGAGGGCAGGAGGGAGAACAGGGGAGAGGACGGTGGCTGGGAAGATGCTGGGGTGGAGGGAAGCAGGGAGAATAGGGATGGGCATGGTGCCTGGGAGGTGGGGTGGACAAGGGAAAGGCGGGGAGGGGGATGTGGATGGGTGCACCGTGCAAGGCGAATACGCGCGGGCGATAGAATAAGTCAAGAAGGCCAACACCCCTGTTGGCAATAGCATATTTCTTCTATTTTACAACAGTGCACTACAACAGCTGCTGCCTTATTCACACGACATACACTATGTCCTTGTTTCTGAGATAGTCATGGGCACATAACGAGCCGGCTCAAGCTCTGGCTCAAGCTGGGGTCGAGCCGGGGCTTAGTAGAGCTGAGCCGGCTTGTGCCACCTCGAGCCGGTCACGCAGTTTGCCCGGCTCGGATCCGCTTGACAGGCACGGCCTAAAAGACACTTCGCCCATCAGAATCGGCGGGTGAGCACTTAGCCCATCAGATCTCCGCAGGTGGGCATTTCGGCCATTTGATCCATGCGGGCAGGCATTGCACCAGCCAGATCTGCACGAGCTGTGCGCGGCTCGTCAACAAGCCGCCGGCTCGACCCCGGCTTGTCGGGAGAGGGCATGTCAAGCTGAGCTGTGGCTCGACTGGCTCAAGCTAGGCTTGAGCATGAACCCGACCCGACCCGACCCGACCCGACTTTGCCCTACCCGATGTCGGGTTCGGGTCGGGTCGGGTCGGGTCGAGTCGGGTCGGAGTTCAGGAAATGTCAACCCCACCCGGGTTTTATAGGTTGGGTACTAACGGACCCGATTTCGGGTCGGGTCGGGTCGGGTTGGCATTGGGGCAGGTAGGCATGAGCAAAACCGGGTATTTACCCGACCCGACCCGGTTTTGCTATACCCGACTTCGGGTCGGGTATTTTCGGGTCGGGTACGGGTCGGGTAACATGCCCAGGACCAATACCCGCCTGGCGGGTCCGGGTATACCCGACCCGGTTTCCTTGAAAAGCGGGTAGTATTACCCGCGTTTTTCTACCCTGTTGGGCTACTAAGCCTACAACCAAGATAGTGCTTCAAAAAACGTGAGTTGCGCGAGGGAGTATGAGGTGCGCCAGTTCTGGTGTGGTGAGTGGGTCGTGAGTGGGGCCTGAGTGGGGAGTTGGTTGGGTTTTCTGGTTGGGATGGGGTTGTGTGCGATTTCTGGGGGTTTGATTCTTTCACCCCCAGAGTCAATTGGTTGGAACTCCAACCAATGTGGTGCTGTGCGGTTGGCTGGATTCAGGTTGGGTTGCAAATTCGATTGGGGAAATTCGATTGGTTTGACTTCCAACCAATTCCCCCCAATTCAACCACTCTGAATGCATCTGTATCTACGAAACCCAACCCCTGCCAATGTACAATGCCCTAAGTGACCTAGCAGCTCACGTAACGTAGAAACTTGATGAAATTTCTCTACCAGCGCGACTAATGTCTCGCTGGTTCCGTCGGGTAGACCGCTACCCGATTTCGGGTCGGGTACCCGCTACCCGACGCGTCGGGTAGCATTTCGGGTAGCGGGTATCGAATACCCGCCCCGGGTAACCCAGACCCGACCCGCCGGGTATTTTTCAGGATTTCCGATACCCGACCCGCCCTAAAAGCGGGTCCGGGTACCGGGTACCCGACCCGGGCGGGTAGTTTGCTCAACCCTAGGGGCAGGGACGGGTAATAAGCCGACCCGATGGGTCGGGTTTTGTCAGTCGGGTCGGGTCGGGTCGGGTCGGGTACCCGAGGGTCGGGTCGACCCTCCGCAAATGTCGACCCGACCCGTCAAAAAGTCGGGTTCGGGTCGGGTTACCCGACCCGACCCGACCCGTTGCTCAAGCCTAGCTCAAGCTGGCTTGGCTCGTTTCGAGCCGAGCCAAGCTGAGCCGAGCCGGCTCGTCCTTATGCCCATGTCTCTCTGAGGTTTCTTATTCCAGCTGGGATGGGCCCGTTAAGCTGATTTAAAAACAATAAACCGGTCACGCTAGGGTGAAAACGTGGGTATGAATGTTGATCTGTTGATCTCCAAGAAAGAGAGTTGTCCGCTTGTAAGCTTCAATGCTGTGAGATAGGGGATGATGACTGAGCGGATGCTAGGGTGGACAAGGGAAAGGTGAGAGGGGCACTAGGAATGGTGCACTTAGGGAAGTCGAATTGGAGGTAGGAGATGAAAAATGTGCCTCATGGCTCCACACAGCAACGCCACAAACATTGCAAACCCCCAAACGAAACTAGCTAGCATCGTTTTCTACAACAGTGCACTGTTCAAACAAATTTTGATCTTCAGCTGCTTCCTACTTCACACGACTTACAGTGCCTTCAAGTTTGTGAGGTTTCCAATTCCAGCTGGGATGGGCCCCGAAAGCTGATTCGCAGACAGATCTCTGATCACAAGAGGGTGACACGTTGGCATGAATACTGCTCTGTTGATATCCTTGAGAGATGTGTGCCCGTATGTTACAGTCAATGCAGTGAGATACGGGAAGTGCAACTGACTGGATGGAAATCCGAAGTGGCAAATCTAGAAAGAAGGGTGGGAGGTGCAAGCATGCAGAGCACATGGCTGCCACAAGGAGTTAGGCACCATTCAACTGCGCAGAGCTCATCCAAGCGTGTTTGGAACTAGGACGAGAAGAGCACAAGAGATGCAGCGAGAAGAGAGTTAATGCTATGGGCAATCGCAATGCACTCCTGACACACACATGCTTCCAGTGGACTTCGTACAGAAGGAAGAGCTGATTGAGTGAGGTGATACTGTTAGGAATGGAGCCAGTCAACGAGTTCGACGCCAAAGAACTGAGTGGGGGGAGGGGGTGGGGTTGAGGGGGGGGGGGGGGGGGGAGGAGGGGTTGAAAAACGTGAGGAGTTGAGAAATTTGGCCATGAACACACAAGCGACCCAAGGGGGTGGTGAGACGAGCATGGTGGGAGGGAGGGAAGCATTGCGTGGCGCACAGAGGAGAAATCTCTGTGGCGGACTTGGAGCAAATTGAAGCAGCTCCAGCTGGTGGCAGGAGGGGGGGAAGGTGGGGCTACGTGGGGACGAAGGAGGGGAATGTTAAAGTCGAGAGCCGAAAAGTTAAGGAGTTCAATTTGAAAGGGCAGCAGCCCAAGTTATACAGGCAAGAGTGGGCAAACAGTGGTGCACCACCTACCATAAGATCAAAAAATAATATTGGGTTTCACATGCCTGGGAAATCTAGAAGGCGGGTGGGAGGAGCAAGCATGCAGAGCGCATGGTTGCCACAAGGTGTTAGGGGCCACTCAACTGCTCAGAGCTTATCCGCGCGTGTTTAAATAGTAGACATGAGCACGGGGCGAGGCGAGGATTCCTTGACCCGAGGATCTCATCCTCGCGCCCTAGCCGGGGTGGGTCGAGGAATCCTCGCCGAGGATTTTTCATGAAAATTCCCCCTCGACCCCCGGGTTTTGGGGTCGAGGATTGAAATCCTCCCCTCGAGGATTAATTCCTTGACCCGGGGCGAGGATTCCTTGACCTGGGCGGCTGGGGGGTTAGGGGAGGGGGGGTAATGGGAACATCCTCGCCCATTTGCCTCGAGGAAAAATCGAGGCCTCGAATCCTCGCCGAGGCGGGGCGAGGAATCCTCGTGAGGATTTTTCCCAGAAAACCTGCCTCGACCCCCGGAATTTCGAGGCGAGGATTTCGGAGGCGAGGAAATACTCGCCTCATTGCTCATGTCTATTGAATAGGCATGACCATGGCCGCGGGCCGGGCCGGGCGTGGGCCGCCCATCTTTTAGACTCGACCGGACCTTTGGCGGCCCGGCCCGGCTCACCCCAGGCCCGCCTCGGCCCGCCCCTGGACCGAATTTTGCCCCTGGTGGGCCCCGGCCCGCCCCCGGGCCAAGGCCGGCCTGACCCCTAAACCCGGGCACGGGCCGGGGAGTTCCCAAGGTCGGCCCGACCTTGGCCCAGCCCGTGCCCGGGCGGGCCGACCAGAAACGGGCCGGGCCAGGCCTATGCTCATGCCTACTTTGGAACTAGGATGAGAAGAGCACAAGAGATGCAACGAGAAGAGAGTTGATGCTATGGGTAATCGCAATGCACTCCCGACACCTGATTCCAGTGGACTTCGTACAGAGAGGAGAGCTGATTGAGTGAGGTAAAGCTGTCGGGAATGGAGCCAGTCAACGAGTTGAACGCCAAAGAACTGTGTGTGTCGGGGGGGGGGGGGGGGGGGGGGGGGGGGGGTGTTTAGGAAAACGTGAGGAGTTGAGAAGAACACACAAGCGACCCAAGGGGGTGGTGAGAAGAATATGGTGGGAAGCATTGCTTGGCGCACAGAGGAGAACGTTCTGCGGCGGAATTGGAGAAAACGGAAGCAGCTCCAGCCGATGGCAGGAGGGGGAGAAAGGTGGAGCGGATGAAGGAGGAAGAAAAGGGACGGATGGTGGCTGGGAGGATCCTGTGGACACAGGAAAGGTAGGGACAGGAGGGGCATGCAACTGGGTGCCTGCAGGGAAGTCGAATGGGAGGTGGGAGATGTAAAAGGCGTCTCCGGACTCCACACAGCAATGCCAACCACATTGCCAACACCCCCCAAACGAAAGCAGCTAGCATCCTTTTCTACAAAAATGCACCGTTTAAACAAAAAACATGATGCTGTGGGCAATCGCGATGCAATCCTGTCACATGGATCCAGTGAGCTTCGTACAGAATGGAGAGCTGATTGAGTGAGGTGATGCTGTTGGGAATGGAGCCAGTCAACGAGTTTAACCCCAAAAATCTGTGTGTAGGGATGGCGAGATGGTGAGGGGGGGTGTTGGGGGGGTTTGAATAACGCGAGGAGTTGAGAAATTTGGGCACGAACACACAAGCGACTCGATGGCAGGAGGGGGAGAAAGGTGGGTCTAAGTGGGGATGGATGGGGGAGAAAATGGGATAGGGACGGTGGCTGGGAGGATGGTGGGGTGGACAACGGAAAGGTGGGGAGGGGCATGAAAATGGGTGCACTCAGGGATGGCGAATGGGAGGTGGCAGATGAAAAAGGTGCCTCCTGGCTCCGCACAGCAATGCCAAGAACGTTGCCAACATGCCCCAAACAAAAGCACCTTGCTCCTACAACACAGCTATATTTGAGAAAATGTGTGGGTCCTCAGCAGCCGTTCACTTCACACAGCTTACAGTGTGTCCAAGTTTGTGAGGTTTCCAAAAACATCTGGAATGGGCCCAGTCAGCTGATTGCCTCCCATATATCTGTTCACAGAGGGTGAATAGTGGGCATGAATACTGCTCGATTGATCTCTTAAAGAGTGGGTCATGTGCTTATATGAAGCTGTGAAAGCAGTGAGACAAATAAAGAAGTACTGATTGGTAAGTCCAGCAGGTATCGAACTTTGCACATTGGAGTAGGTGGAGGGGATGACAAGAGAACATTGCTTGCCAGCACCCCCCAAACAAAGGCACCTCGCTCCTATTCCCATAGCACCACTCTGTTTAGACGAATTGCGGTCCCGCAGCAGCAACCAGCATCCCACGGCTTACAGCTTTTTCAAGTTTGGGAGATTTCCAATTTCAGCTGGGATGGGTCCAGTAAGCTCATTACTCGTCAGGGCTCTGGTCAGAGGGTGGAAAGTGGGCATGCTTACTGCTCTGTCGATCTCCCAAAGAGCAAGTTGTCCATTCATATGAAACAGTCAATGCAGTGAGATAAGTACAACTGACTGGCTGGTTCTAACATGCCTGGGAAATCCGAAATGGCAAGTTCAGAAAGAATTCATTACACAGGGAGGATGGAGGGAGCATGCAGAGTCTATGGACACATGAACTCAGAACACTTGATGCTCCCCAAATTATTGCAGCCCGCTTCACTTCTAAACATGCTGCTCTATTCAATCCAAACATGTCCTTTCAGCACCATCTCACACTGCTTACAGGTACTGCAATGCAGGGAGGTTTCCAACTCCAGCTGGAATAGATCCGTCAAGCTGATTATATTCCAGGTCTCTGATCACAGAGGGAGGGCAGTGGGAGAGTGAGAATGCTATGAATGCGTCGTTCCAGGGCCCCGCCTGGTTCACTCTTTTTTAGGGCGAGTAGTCCTATTTCTTGTGGGGAGTAAAATTTACTCGCCCAAGGAAAGTATACTTTCCTCGAGCCGCATTTCCGCCCCCATCTCTGTAGTTGAATGATTTTCTCTGGCTCTATAAAAGTGCAGCCATGTTGAAAAAAGTCGGAAACAGCAAGCACGGCCACGGAATGATGGTGTATCGCAAATAAAAGGCACAAAAATCAGGCGCGCTGGTACAAAGTTGACGCGAGCAAAAATAATCGAGACGAGTGCTTTGTACTTGCGAGCATTTTAAACTCGTTCTCTGTAGGCGAGTAAAAGCCAAGTATTCAGTTACGCGACAAGTTTACTCGCCTCGCCTTGGGTCGAGTGTTTGTCCACCCTGTTACTCGGGATTCCCAAGGAGAGTAAACGAGTAACTACTCGCCTCCACTGCCTGTGTCTACTCCTCTACTGCCTGTGCGCCGCCCTCTACTGCCTATTTGCCACGAGAGCTTCTGCACTGCAGATGCCTGAAGCGTCGCCACACAACCGCTGCCCGCTGGCCATCAACACCCCTGGTCTGGAGTCGTCAGCCGCCTGGCTCAGAATCGATGAGCACGTCATGCTCAAGCGGAGTCGAGTCGAACTGGGTTTTTTTTTTTAAAGCTCGGCTCGCCAGAAAGGGCGAGCCGAGCCGAGCCTAGTCGAGCCGGATGTGACACGGCTTACCCAAGCTAAAACATCGAGGCGACCGCTCAGGAGAATTTTCCGCCGCCTCGCTTTGACATCGATTCAAGGCAGCCCGAGGCAATGTGAATATTTGTTGCCTCGCCCAATACCCATGCCTACAGCCAGGAAAACACAAGCAGGCACCCTGCAGTGTGTTGGCAGCTCGACCATCTCTTGCCCCGCCCCACTGGCTTGATGCCAACGGCCCTTCCGCAACAGAAAAAGCACACAGCATGCCGCCGATTAGTCAATCGCAGCTACTCCACGCCAGTAGACGAACCACTCCGGGGCCTGCTGCGATGCACATCAGCCTCATTGTATCATGGGGCTCCGAGACCATGAGTCATGGTCTCATGTGCGCTTCTTACAGCCATGTCAGTGCAGTGAGTGAGGAGATGCTGTCGGGAATAGCACCAGAAATGTTTGCGGAATCCATTCGGCTGTGTGGGGTGGGTTGGAAGAAGAGTGGAGGTTAGAATAAAGGTCAAAGTTGTGTATTTGTCAGAACGAGCAAGGGCAATGAAGCAGGCAATGTAGCAAGGGGCCTTTTTGGCGCCAGCATTTTGTGGTGTCCACTCCATCCAGGATAGCAAAGCATGCACTCACATGGCCGTAATCATGCCCGACGGGGCACACATGAGACCTTTTGCAGCGCTACAGCTGGCTGTCTGGGACCACCCTGGGATCGTCGTCCCCCATGCCTTCTGGCAGTCGCTGAGAAACACGGCTGGCAGTTGGGGACACGAGAGGGGAGGGACGGACCAGTATGCATTGAGTGGATAGAGGCCCACTTGGGATGTATTGAAACCTGCACCTACCATGGATAATCAAGGCATGTTTATTATTATTTGCCCAGAACTTGGTCCCTGCTTCATGTGACACTGCCATACGAGCTGTGGGAGGGGAGAAAGGCACCTTGCAATGCGCTGATCGGTACGTCTGCCGCGTGGCACGAGGAGACGGCGGCCGCGACAAGCCAAAGCGCGGCTGAGAATGCCGCGAGCCATGCTCGGCGCTGCATCGCGGCCGACTTTGGCGGCGGCATCTGTACTCCTAGTACTAGTGGTGTAGCTTCGCGCAACAACCGCCGAAAGTTGTGCGGCCTTGGTGGGACCGGCTCCGGAGATAGGATGAGTGGGGAGAGACGCTACTAGAAGCGATGAGTGGGGAGAGACGCTACTAGAAGCTGACTTCGGAGTAGCCCAAGCACTGACAGACAATCGTCGCGCACTGGCGATGCCTGAAAAGAATATCAGTAGAGGAAGGGGAGAGAGAGATCTGAGGGAAGCACTGGCGCTCCTCTTACGAGCTGATTCGGCTCTCAAAATTTGCTATAATTCACCTCAACCGGTTCGGCCTGGTGCGCGGTGATCCAAAACGGTGCATTGCGAGAACCGTTCCCGACCATGCTGAACCGTGGAAATCGGACTGCATCCGAACAAGGGACAGGCGATTAGGCATGCACCGCGGAGAGGACTTGCCTCACCCCAACGTGATATCCTGCTACGACCATGGCTGGCCATCAACCCAGCCTGTCGTCCTGGGATAACCATGGCTGGCCAGTCACGCAAGACCGCGGACTGCTGCAGTCTTCTGACGGCGGCTGTAGTGCTGCTCGAAACGGTACGGTGTGGTGTGTCCCGGCAAGAAAACGATACAACTGGGACGGGGGAAGACCTAGCCAGACGGTGGTAGGCTGAGAGAGATTTGGTGAAATCTCCTTGCGGGTGGTTTGAGAAAACTGTGAAGCGGACTCGTTGCAGTGGTTGAATGCACCTCACGCCGTGTTGTGAGCTTTAAGGGAGTGGAGCATGCACAAGGACAACAACTGTCCAGGCGATGTCGGTTCGACCAGAATCATTGGCGAGATGCATGGCGACTGAAACCAAGAAGCAGTAACCCTCGCTGCGTGGAAGAACGGGGTTTGATGCTGTCCTCCCGATCGCGCCTTGAATACTGATCCCTCGCAACCTTTCCCTCCCTCCACTTCCATGCGCACAAAATGTACAAAATGTAGAACCAACTCAACCATTACAAATTTTATGATAGTGTAGCTAGACCTTGATTTCCATAACTATAGGTACCGTTAAAGGAAAAGCATCACGCAGCATTTTTTATGGATGACATTGAAATTGTTGGGCTGAGAAAAGCCCTTAGGATCTTTTCAGAGACTAAGTCCCAGTTGAAGAATGAGACTTGAGTAGTGCAGCAGAAGTTGAGGCAGTTGAACCCTTGTACTAGTATATGAGAACTGTTGGGCTGAGAAAAGCCCTTAGGATCTTTTGCAGAGACTAAGTCCCAGCTGTAGAGACTTGAGACTTGGAGTAGTGCAGCGGAAGTTGAGGCAGTTGAACCCTTGTACTAGTATGTGAGAACAAGTGATTAATTAAAGAAACAAGCATACAGCAATATATAGAAGATAAGGAAGCAGTTGTAGAATACAGTTACAGGAACGGTTTATCGAGTCGCACAGCGACTCGATTGCCGCTTCGGTTACCATCCGTGATGTTGTAACGGTCAGTCGCAACCTCCAGTTGCGACCTTTCGAGTCCTTTCGCATTCTTTGTCCGCCCCCTCGTGTAACCTCCGTTGACTCGCGTGCTCCCCTGTAATCTTCCTCGAGTACAGTGTTACACTTCAGAAACGCTTAAGTCCTTGAGATATTTCCAACACTCCCCTTCGTTTCTGGAGTGCTGGAGTGTTCAGATCCGGTGACGTTTGTTTGCCCGGTTAGGAGCATGCAGTAGTCGAATTTTGCTTTCGCCAATTTCTTCGTCAGATAATCTGCGGCCATTTCTGTCGTCGGGCAGTAACTGAGTTGAAGTCTCCCCTTCGCGATTTCATCCTTGACGAAGAAGTACCGCAGGGCGATGTGCTTGGTTCGGTTGGCGAAGCCGTCCTTGTTCGCGATTTTTATCGCAGATTGGTTGTCGCAGAGGAGTGAGAAGGTGGGCAGGGTCGCGATCTTCGCTTCTTCGAGTAACTCTCGTAGGTAGAGTCCTTCCTTGGTCGCAGTACAAAGGGCGATATACTCTGCTTCAGCTGAGGATAGTGCGATTAACTCCTGCTTGCTCGACTGCCAGGAGATAGTTCCGATAGGTTCTAGTCGGTAGATGTAGCCCGTCCTAGACCGTCGATTTTCGCTGTCTCCCGCGTGGTCGGCGTCGACGTATCCGAGTAGTCGTACGGACGGTGTTGTTGCCTTGCTGTAGGTGAGCCCGATCGTCGGCGTGGAGACGAAGTAGAGTAGCGCTCGATTGAGTTCTTCGAGATCTTCCTGTTGCGGCTGCTTCAGATGTGTCGCCAGCTGGCTCGCACTATAGGATAGGTCGGGTCGGCAGGTTACTGTTGCGAATAGTAGACAGCCGAGCTTCTGTTGATACTCCTGGATTTGTTTCGCGGGGAGTTTTGTGGAGGCGCTACTGTTGTTCCCGTAGCGGTAGGGAGTTGGGACCGCAGTCGGTGTTAGACCGAATTTCTTCGCGACGGTGCTTGAGTACTTTCCAGCGTGTAGGTAGAACGCCGTGTCGTCTTCGACGACGTTCAGTCCTAGGTACTGCGTCACCTCGTCGGACACCGTGAGCGTCAGGTCCCTTTTCAGCTCCCCTTCGAACCAGGTGACGATGTCGGTGGTAGAACCGATGTAGAGCAGGTCGTCGACGTAGACGATGAGCAGAATGTAATCTCTTCCCTTCTGTAGTCGGTACATGCCTTGGTCATGTGGTAGCTGTAGGAATCCGATTTTTACGAGCCGGCCGTGAAGGTGCTGCTGCCAGAGCCGTGGGGCTTGCTTGATCCCGTAAAGGGATTTTTCCAGCTGGCATACTTTTGAAGGGTCGTCGATGAATCCGTGGGGTTGTTCGACGAAGATTTCGGCGTCCACAGGTGCGTACAAGAAGGCGTTTGCAACGTCGATTTGCCGTAGTGGTAGTTTCTTCGTGGCCGCGATGGCGAGTAGGATGCGCAGAGAGGTGTGACGGGAGACTGGAGCGAAGGTTTCTGTGTAGTCGGTTCCGTATCGTTGATCGAAGCCTCGTACGACCCATCGAGCTTTGAATCGTTCGATGGAGCCGTCTGAGTTGGTCTTGATGCGGTACACCCATTTCCCCGAGAGAATGTTCTTCCCGTTGATGCTCGTTGCAGGTACCAGTTTCCATGTTTCTCGGTCTTGCAGAGCTTTTAACTCTTTTTCCATCGCTTCCTTCCATTGTGCCTTATGTTCCCCCCCCAGAGCCTGCGACAGGGTCGACGGCTCGCGCGGAGAAGGCGGCGGCGGGTGCTGGACGGAGACCCATAGTCCTAGGATCTGCAGTCCCGTGGCTGTGTGTCGAGGGGAGTTTTCATTCTCGGGATAAGCTGCTTCATCACCGTCTTCAGGATCGGGTAAGAAGTTTGGCCCGATGCGTTCGGAAATATTCGAGTCGACGGGGTGTGGTGTAGCGTAGCCTTGGTCAGCGAAGTGGTAAAAGGTGTCGAGGTTGTTGCTATCGAGAGGATTATCTTCATCGAGTGGAACAGGTACGGAGCAGTAGGGGAGTGGTCCGGCAGCCTCCGAGGCTCCAGGGACGTCTTCTTCTGCTGCGTCAGCCTCGGCAGCATGGTCAGCGAAGGAGCGAAGGCCCGCGAAGCCGTCGGTGGGGTCGTCTGAGTTGGCAATGTTGTCCAGGTAATGCTGCAGCGTCAGTCGCTCGTAGAAGATAACATCACGTGATGCCACCGTATTTTTGTCGTGTATGTCGAGAATCTTCCACGCGTGAAAATGTTTGGCGATGCCGAGGTGTAGTCCCCACCGAGCTCGTTGAGTGAAGCGTCCTGCTCGAGCTGTGTGGGGTCTGTATTGTACCATGCAGCCGAAAACTCGAAGTAATTTTGTGCTGCCCCTTTTTCCCGTCCACAGCAGGTGCGGTGATGCGTTGTTGGGGAGCGATGACGAGGACAACAGGTTGTGCAGGTGGACTGCATGTGTCATCGCGTCTGGCCACAGTGTATTGGGCAGCCTCATCCCCAGAAGCAGTTTTCGCATCGTCGTCTGCAAGGTCCGGTTCATGCGTTCTGCTACCCCCTGCTGCTGGTGAGCATAGGGCAGAGACACCAGGCGTCGGATTCCCCTTTCCGCGAGATAGGTCCTGAAGCGTTGTGACTGGTATTCCAGTGCACCGTCTGACTGGAAACTCTTGAGTTTGGTTCCTGACTCTCGTTCGGCGATTGGAAGCCATGTGGTGAAGGCCTCGAAGGCTTGATCGCGCGTTTTGAGATTGAAGTGCCAGACGTATCTGGTTGCGGCGTCGATGAACGTGATGACGTAGTTGAAGTCGGCTTCGGTGTCGTCTCGAGACATGTTTAGAATATCGCTGTAGACCTTTTCCATCGGAGCGTAAGTGGGTGCGCTTGGATTGTGATGGGCTGGGAAAGGTTGATGAGGAAGATCTGCTTCGGGGCACGTGAAGCATCGTGCTCTTGGTCGGCGAAGTTCTTGGCCGCTCGTCGTTAGAAGGGCGTTACGTTCTAACACCTCTGCTTGTATTGTTTGTAGTATCGTGCTGTTTGCAGGATGTCCGAGACGTTGGTGCCAGATGTCGTCGGGAGCGCGGTGACCGGGCGAGCGGTGGTAGATGTCGGCGTTGGAGAAGAACGCGACGACCGAGGCGGGACTTCGACAAGCTTCTCGTGTGGCGGGCATAAGTTGGTCTGCTTCCGTTGGCGGTCCTCGTGTTGATGGTGGTGGTACTCGGCTGGGTCCTGCTGCCGATACTGCAGGTGATGGTTTTGTTGGGACGCTTGCTGGTACTTGTCTTTCTTGTCTGATAACTGCTAATGCCCGTGTTCTCTCTGCTGCAGGTATGGTGTTGGAGTGCCAGAAGCCGTCACTGTCGAAGTCGGGATCAAGATCTGGTGGGTGAGTCCAGGCGGCGAACGATACGATGCCATCGCTGTCGGCAGTTCCGCGGTCGGGGACGAAGTCCAACACGAAGACACCGGACTTCAGGAGGGCACGACCGATGAAGAGACCGCCCTTCCCGTGGTAAAGTCGGAACTCGTTGGAGAAGGAGTCGCACTCCAGGTGAATCCCCTTAGCCATTAGTTGGCTTACGCTTAGTAGGTTGTATCCCAGATTGTCGACGATGAGGACTTTGTTGAGCTGAAGAATAACGTTTGTCTCCATTGATTGTAACTGAACCACGCCTTGCCTGTTTGTTTTCAGGTTTTCGTTGTTGGCGACGGTGATGACGACGTCGCGGTTGAGGCGTCGCTCGTGTTGTACGAAGCGTCCGGAGGAGCACATGTGCTGACCGCAGCAACTGTCCAAGAACCAGGTGTTCCGCCCGGTGGGTTCGGCGTTAGCGACTGCAGCGTATGTCGGGTTGACCTGAAGTCCTTGCGAGCGCGGCGGCGGGAATTCCTCTTCGTCTGGTGCGTAAGTGGGTGGTGAAGCGGGTGCGCAGTTGTCGATGTGTACCATGCAGTTGATGATGTTGGGTGTTTGTTGTGCAGATGTTGAAGAACGCCTTGGAGGACTTGCTTGAGTGGAAGCGACTTGTGGGTCTGCTGCACGGTAAACGCGAGGGCGGTTGCAGTTGACCTTGGAGTGCCCGGAAGTCTGACAGTTGTGGCAGAACGGCGGCACGATGGTGAGTCCTCGGTTGTCGCGTTGATCTTGCTTGCTGCGTCGGTTGTAGTTGTTGTCATTTCTTCTTTGAGTGTAGAAGACTA